GGGGGGGGGCGCCTATTGTCACCCGCGGCTGCGGCCGCTCCCCGGGGAACCGCGCCCGGGGCCGCGCCTGCGGGCAGGGCCCCCCCGCCCCGCGCGGGTCCCACCTGCCCCCAGGGGGTGCCCGCCCCGGGGTGGGGCGTCCCCGGAGCGCTGGCACGCAGGTACAGGCACGCGCGCAGCCAGGGCTGGCCTGCGACGGAAAGGAATCTTTCTTAGATAACATCCTTCAGCCGTCAGCCGAGGGGTTGCTGATGTATCCCCCGGGAAAGAGGCTCGGATGGAGGAAAAGCGCACCCATCTCCCCCAGCTCGGTATCTCGCCCGGCGCACCTGGCACAGGCCAGCTCGGCGAACGGGGCAGAGCTCGGCCTTGCTGCTGGGGCCCGTCCGGCACCACCGCCTCCTTAAATTGTCCTGCAGGGGCAAACACAATGGTCAAACATGGGCAAGAAATGTTCGCCGCCCCCGGTTGGAAGACAACAACTCTTCGTCTTTCTTCTTAGAGGATTGCATTTGTGACAGTGTCCCCCATGGTTCCAGACAACATAAATATTGTTTAGGGCTTGTTTATACATGTAGTTGTTCAGGAGGAGCTATTCCTGACTAATTTCATGACTAATTTCCAGAATAAGGCTAAGCTGTTCCGGTTTAGTATAACACTCTGAGTTTTAATTAAAGACGAAAATAGGGCACACCTATTCTTGAAGAGGGATGTTTACAGAATTGTTGTTGAATAACTTCTGTGTGCATGAGCCAAGAATCAACAGACACCTAAACCGGCTTCCCATTTCCCTCCAGGCTGATGTACAAGTTGCTTGCTTTGCAGATACTATTGCTTTAGAAAGCCACAAAGAAAATAAGATGGCAGTTATGACACATATTCTCTGTTTTGATTTGCCTGACATTTTTAGGGGACATTTTATTGGCTGTCTGTGGTATTTTCACTGAACATGGGAAGACATTGTATGTGACTGATATTCAGTACAACAGCATGAGTTCTCAGCGTGTTCCAACAACCATGGTGAGCTCTGTGTGCTGTGACCATCCTCTTATCATCCCAGGAGCACAAAGTAGCTGGGTAATAAAGTTGCCCTCTGAGGTTCGTATCGCAGTGGTAACACAAGAATATGAAACAGCTAGTGCTCAAGCAAGGGTATTTTATGTATGCCCAGAAAAACCCTGAAGCCCATGACAAGTATGCAGAAACCTCCCCATATGTTAGGCATACTTCATGAAGCGCCAAGTGCACAGAAGAATGCGGAGAGAAGAAAAACCTCCATCTTCATCCCCACTGCTGGGAGGCGCTGCTTAGCGGCACTCGATGCTTGGACACAGAAGGAAAAGCAATGTTAGGAATGCAGTATGTCCAGTATTGCCTACACCTTGTGGGCCACAGCTTCATGAGATGTGGACAACCAGTTTGGATCCGTTCTTCTGTTACTGCAGGCTGTCTGCATGAGTCATCTGGATTCGTCTTGATAGGCTGCAGTAAGAGAGACTGGGTCTCTCCAGCTTACACTTGCTCCCCTATTAGTCAGAGGACAAGACTTCAGCTTTGGTTTTTTAACAAGAAAGTGTCGTCATTGTTGCTTCTTATATAAGGACATCTAGTGTCATAACTCCAGCATGTCTGTATTAATTCTGAAAGCTATATAGGACTTTTTTTTTAACAGTTTTCCTTTGCTTCTAGTTTTCAATTATAATATGCCATCTAGGCTAGGTAAAGTTCTTCCACTTTATCTTGTGGAGTGTCTTGATTATCCATCTGTTGAATGTGTTTAGTCTTCCTTTCCAAGGTAGAACCTCTGTTTCAGGTCATTTCTTCTTTAGGAGTTTTCAGATAAGCTTTCATAAGACAAATGTCAGTACCACTGCTAAATACCTTGTATCATGCCACTTCTTCAAGGTATGACACAGCCAAGATTCAGATCACAGTTATAAGACCTCATGACTACTTTGTCATGGTATGGTGCAGTCTTTACCCCATGACTTGTTTTAGGAGCAAAATCCTTATCCTTGTTATGAGGAAGGGAAAGGAAGAGAGGAAGAAATCAACAAAGACTGGTTTTGTTCTCTGTTAATGGTAACGCACTAGAAATATTCTGTGTTTCAGAACTCTGTTAGTAGTAAAAGTAGTATAACCATTCCTTATGACTTAAATCTGTCCATTAAATCCATCTACACAGGTGGTCCTTCATCTTTTCTCACACTCCTGTATCATAGAGGGATTTCTTTTTCATGGGATCTGAGTCCTATTAGATTCCTTTTTCTCATTTAATAGTGGGAGGAGACCATGGAGATCATATCTTTGAATGAAAAGAACACCGTCAGTGGATTCTGCAAAAATTCTAGCACGCTTGACCTCTTGCGTCACTAATTCCTAGTAGCATCGTTAGTCATTTCATCCCCTGGTAGAATCGAAGCCCAGCATGATACATTGGAAGCTCTGATCTCCTGAAGAGCAGTCACTTCTGATTACCGATTTTGAAGACAAGCTCTGTGAGAGCTGGGGGAGAAAGAATTTTTTTCAAGTCTGGAATAAGTCAGTACCCACCTCTTTGCCTCAGATGAGCAATTCTTTTCCATTTTAGCTGAGACATGACAATTCTTTTAAGCACACAGCAGCTCTGGAAAGTAGCAGCATCCAGCTGAAGTGGAAGAAGGAATAAATGCCCATACAATGAGAAGCCAGTAATTTTAAACCAGACTTTCATAAAGACATACAGACTAATGGATTCCAAATTGCCGTAAGTCCCATGAAAAATTAGCAACCAAGTTGTCTTGACTCTATTTCAGCAGCAAGGTGAAGATTATTTTCTAGAAATGTAACCATGTTTTTGCACACTGACTCAACCAATTAAGATAGTGTTTTAAAGTATTGATTGTAAGAAATAGTGTTTAAAATTTTAATCATTATTATTAGAGAAAAACTGTTCCAGCTACAGGGATCTGTCCTTCATGCATTAGTTTTAGCTTCTGGAAGTTCTGGCTTCACATGTAATAAATGTAAGTTTGACAGTATCTTGGAAGTAAGGGGGAATTAGGGAGGGCTCTTGAGTATTATGATGGCTGGATGGAAAATACCTGCAGTGAGGTTAGTCTGGATAATGGCTCTGCCTTAACAGATGATTTTCCTGATTTTTCTTTTAAGAGAGATTAGTAGTTGTTTCAGTTTACTTCCCCTCAATGTAAAAATTAGTGGGGATTCTCGACATCCGTGTGTCTGGGTCTATTGCCTAGGCCATACTCTCTATAAAGTAGTTGTCTACAAGATTAAAACCACTACGTGCTAGTCTGTGTTGACAGTGTGTTTTCGGGAGATGCTCCAGAGTGGAATCAACGTCCTGTTACAACTCACAGTCACAAAACAGACTACAAGCACCTAAAACTTTCAAAAGAATTAGACTCGCCTACATTTGACTAAAATAAATTTGATACCAAGAGCTGTATACTAGCCTTGGAAAGCCAGTATAATTTATCAGTACTCCACATGTCATTTGGTCCCATCGTATCCAAGAGAGGAAATTCACCCCATTGTAGAGAGCCTATAGAAAGGACCATATAGCAATTTAGATCACTATCAATGGGCTCTGTCTGAGGATGTTTTGACAAATGGTTTCTCACTCTTATTCTGCTTCAGTACACAAGAGGGAGATAGATAAAGGGCCTGGAGCAAGTAACAATTCTTTGTATTATCCATGTGCTTTCTGGCTATGTTTCCAAAGAGACAGAAAGTTCAGATGGCAAAACACAGACATATAATCCATCGCTAAATGTATCCTCTCCTTTCCTCACATGTGGTCTTCATGTGTCCACTGCGGGCACTTAACCTGTTGCATCATCAGCCTCTCTAAAGCTTCGCGTGTTTTCCACCGGCATACATCTGTTGGGCTTTTGGTTTGGCTAATTATACAGATTCTGGATTTGGTCCTGAAGCTTTCAGCAGAATTTATACACACTGTTAATGATACTGTGCCTTGTTTAGAAAGCAAAGCAAAATAGATAATTCTACAGAGAGTCATGGAAGTGGTGATACCAAAATGAATTGTGTTGCAATAAAAGGCAAGCAATGGCATCTGGAACACAGGAGATGGAAAGCAGGTTAGCTAAAATTCCGAGATGCTGAATCAACATGGAAAACAGTAACAACTGGTGCAATGAACAGTTATACAGAGCTTGACTGATATTTGAAAAGTCAACAAATAGTAGAAGAGAAGAACACAAGTGAGAGAAAATAACCTTAAGCCCTGGAAATGGTTATACCCCCTGCCAAAACTGGCCTGCTTACAACAGGTTTCAATACAAAAGAAGCATAACTGTGGTCACCTAAGGCTGCGAATGAATATTTGCATTCAGATTAAGCCTCTGGTGCAAAAGTGATCCACAAGTCATGCTTGTAATCCCTGACAGCAGGCAGATTCAAGAGGAATCTTGCAAGGGACTTCCACATCTGTCCCCATTTCAATACTGCTGAGAAGCAAGCTAATCAAGTTTCTTCCATCGCAGTTTCAGATTTCTTAAGAGGCACATACTTTCATCAGACTACTCCAGTAAGTCTAAAGGTGAAGACCAGGTTAGAATTAAGTTTGGATACAAAGAGAGTGAAGCCAGCATAAGAATAAATCAAGACACCAGAGATGGAAGGAGTCATCCCAAACTGAAAAGGATAGTCAGAAAGTCATAGAGCCAGAAGTTTGAAAATCAAAGAGTCCTTGTTATAAGTCAAGTCAGGGCTGGGACAAGGTGAGGTATAGGAGCATAACACAAAGGGAGCAGGAACCAGGAATCAAGACTAAGCAAACAAGAATGAAAGGCAAGAGAGTCAGAAGCAAAACTACAGCCAAATGGCACTGCAGACTGCCAAGAGCAACTGGTGGAGTTGCCTGACACATCTGCTATTAGAGGAAATTGGCCAAGCTTTAGCTCCTGCACAGCTGGGCCACAGTCCCAGTTGCCCTATTGCATCCAGCTGCAGGGCCAGTAGCCCAGGCAGAGCCCAACCGTATGGTTAAATGTGCATCGACTTAAAACTCGATCTGCAGGAATAGCTTGTCTCTATAAAATTTTCTGGTACAAGCAACAAGTTTAACTCAACTTAAGTATCCAGTAGAACACTGCACTGATTTGCCTAAGTGTGTTTAAAATTATAGCTTTAATTAAGCACTGCAAGTTTGTGCAGTGAAAATGCCTTACTATAGAAGAAATAGATGTATCTGAAGGCAGGCAACAGTGCCAAGATTCCCAGAAGTGGAAAGACATCCCCTCATCTCCCCCTACTGGTGTGCACGTCCCCACGCCTCTGCGGAGTGACGAGGAGCAGCTACCTCCTCTGCTCTGCCTATGCCAGTATTTCGGGAAACTGAAAGAATCACAGAATATGCTGTGTTGGAAGGGACCCACAAGGATCGTCGAGTCCAACCCTTAGCCCTGCACAGGACCCTTGGGAGCAGCTTCCAGCATAGAACTGTTCTCAAGATGCTGGCAACAACTTAAAACCACAGTCCTGCTATCAAGAATTAGTCATTTGCTCCCAGAGAGTTCATTCTGCAGACTTTGGTTATTAATTAGACATTGCTTTTAGTGGGAGACTATAGAATACAGATTTTGCAAAGGGCTTTAAGACGTTATCCCAGTGAATATTAAAATCTTCTAGAAAATATAAATTAAGAAAGGAATAGAAAGAAAGCTCACTGTTTTTAAAGATGTTTGTGCAGTACATCATGACAAAGATCAATCATGAGAGACGAATGCCTGTTGAGAGAAAGGAACAATATTTGAAAGAAATGGGAACAGCAAAATAACAAGATATGTTCATTTTGTATTATAAGTATCTAATATATAGCTAATTTAACTCTGGTGTGTTATGAAAAACTACTAGTGGCAGAAGCAGCTGAAAAGATCCTGAAGACGTGATACTCAGTATGTTTAATACCCAGGATGCTTTTCTGCCTCCTTTTTCGGGAGCAATGCTGTTGACAGACACAAGAACAAAGAGGAATGTGTGTAATTGCTTTTGCAAGAGTAAGTCTTATTTGTTTTCATAAAGATACCATGATTTATTACTTATTTTTGCTGCCTTTATGGTCAGAAAACAGTATAGACTAAATCCCTGCCACTTTAAAAGTAACATGCATGGAACACATCCTGCAGTAAATGATTTATTCAAGTGCCATCAATGCCAGCTGAGGGCTCAGTGGTAACAGACCATAACTGGTGCTAAGAGTGAGATAATTAATCACAATAAGTTGATATTCAAGGAACAAACACTGAAAACTTTAATTTAGTTGCCAAAACCTCTCAAAATATAAAGTGTCTTGTGATGTATTATTTAAAGCAGCATAGTGAATATGAAAAGAAACAATGGAGAGAAAGTGTTTTCCATACTGACCTCCTGTGCTATGTCTTTTCCTAGGAACTTTGGAATGGAAAAAAAGGACAGAACAACACGATCTCTGAATGTATGTTTGTAAAAATCCCAAATATTTACAAAGCAAAACACTGAAACCTGGATATTAACATACAGTTTAAGGAGCTCTAATGAATACAATTGCAATATTGAATTAGATGTAAATAACTTATTCAAGTTGGCTTAGTGGTAACATTACAAAATATAAAAATCTTCAGTTAATTTTCAGTCAGACTGACCATAATTTATACATTGGAAATCCAGATTCTCACTTACCCCAAGGCTTTAAACTGCTGTAAGATGCAAAGCTGCTTTATAAGGGTTATAAGTTACACTTACATTCACTTAAAATACATTTTATATTCCCAGGGTTATGTAGAGCAGCCCTAATGTAAGGGAATTGACTACAAGCATTCTCAACCAAGGATGCAAATTCAGTGCCGTCTTAACCAACTGCTGCAAAGGGACTCTGTCACTGTAGCAGTGCCCTACTAGTCAGTCTCACAAGGCTTTCCTACAGGGCAGCTTGCAAGATTAGGTATTAATATCCTTAAAAAACCAACAGAAATATCAACAACCAAACTTTCCTCTCCTCACCCATGCACCTATGTCATGCAAAAACATCAGTCTCAGGCATGCCACATAACATCCTTTCAATCATATTTTAATCAAATTGCTTTTCATCAGCTCTTCAAATTTTATGTAAGAAGCACATGATCTGCTTTAATCTTTCCTCCTCCTCCCTCACTTCTCAAAAGAAAGTTTCAGTGCTTACTCAAAGAATGGCATTCAGCGCAGCAACAGACACATAAATCTTCTGAATTGCTAAAAAAGTGCTACCCAGAGACTGGTATGGCTCTAGATTATGACAATCAAATGCACGGGACTGGAGAACACAAAAAACACTCAGATAATAAATTTTCCTTTTAAAGGATCCTTAACAGCAAAGATGCAAGGGTTATTGATGAGTTAGAAACGATGGGAGTGCCTGAGAATGGTCATGTAGGAATTAAGGTATCACCCCTCAAAAAGGTGGTGGGATCAATAGTCCATCTGGAGTGCATCTACAGCAATGCACACGACACAGGCAACTAACAGGAGGAGGTGGAAGCCGTGGTGAATCTATGACATAGTTGCCATCATGGCAACAGGGTGGGATGATTTGCACCACTGGAGTGTTGGAATGGATGCCTGTAAATTCTTCAGAAGGGATAGGCAAGACGGAGAGGTGGTGGGGTAGCCCTGTATGTTAGGGAGTGGTTTGATTGCCTAGAGCTTAATGATAGTGACGTTAGGGTTGAGTGTTTATGGGCAAGTGTTGAGTGTTTATGCCAACAAGGCATGTATCATGGTGGGAGTCTGTTATAGACCACCCAACCAGGATGAAGAGGCAGATGAAATATTCTATAAGCAGCTGGGTGAAGTCTGCTAATCACTAGTTCTCATAGGGGACTTCAGTTTACCAGATGTCTGCTGGAAATACAACACTGCAGAGGGGAATCAGTCTAAGAGGTTTCTGGAGGGCAACTTCCTGACACAGTGAGCACACTTGTTCCCCCTGGTGAGGGAACACACTAGGGAAGGTGTCCCACTGGACCTGCTGGTTTTGAATAGAGAAGGACTGATGGGTGATGTGATGGTTGGAGGCCACCTTGGGCAGAGCTATCATGAAATGATTGAGATTTTGATTCTCAGAGAAGTAAGGAGAGGAGTCAGTAGAACTGCTTCCTTGAACTTCCCCAGGGCAGACTTTGGCCTGTTTAGGATCCTGTCTGACCCTTGGGAGGTAGTCATGAGGTACTTAATGCCTTCTCTGCCACAGTCTTTAATAGTAAGACCAGTTGTTCTGTGGGTACCCAGCCCTGAGCTGGAAGATAGGAAAAGGGAGCAGAATGAAGGCCTAATAATCCAATGGGAAATGGTCAGTGACCAGCTACACCACTTAGACATGCACAAGTCTGTGGGGCCAGATGGAATCCACCCAAGAGAACTCAGGGAGCTGGGGGAAGAGCTCGTGGAGCCACTTTCAATCATTTACCAGCTGTCCTGGTTAACTGGGGAGGTCCTAGCCGACTTTAAGTTATCCTATGTGATGCCCATCTACAAGAAGGGTCAGAAGGAGGATACAGGGAAGTACAGGTCTGTCAGCCTGACTTCAGTGCTGGAGAAGGTCATGAAGCAGATCATCCTGAGTGCCATCACACAGCATATACAGCACAACCAGGGGGCAACCAGGAGATCAGACTCAGTCAACAGGAGTTCGTGAAAGGTTAGTCCTGCTTGATCAACCTGATCTCCTTCTATGACAAGGTGACCCACTTAGTGAATGAGAGAAAGGCTGTGGATGTTGTCTGCCTAGACTTTAGCAAAGCCTTTGACTGTGTCCCACTGCATTCTCCTGGAGAAGCTGGCAGCCCATGGCTTGGACAGGTGCACTCTGTGCTGGGTAGAAGATTGGCTGGATGGCCGGGCCCAGAGAATGGTGGTGGATGCAATTAAATCCAGTTGGCAGCCAGCCACAAGTGGTCCCCAGGTCTCCATATTGGGGCCAGTCCTGTTTAATACCTTTATCAATTATCTGAACAGGGGGATCGAGTGCCCCCTCAAGTCTGTTTGCAGCTGACCCCAAGTTGGGCGGGACTGTAGGATGGTAGGAAGGCTCTACAGAGGGATCTGCACAGGTTGGATCAATGGTCTGAAGCCAGTTGTATGAGGTTCAACAAGGTGAAGTACTGGGTCCCGCTCTTGGGTCACAACCACCCCATGCAGAGCTACAGGATGGGAGCAGAATGGCTGGAAAGGACCTGGGGGTGCTGGTCGACAGCAGCTGAACATGAGCCAGCAGTGTGCCCAGGTGGCCAAGAAGGCCAATGGCATCATGGCCTGTATCAGGAATAGTGCGGCCAGCAGGACCAGAGCAGTGATCATCCCCTTGTACTCGGCACTGGTGAGGCCTCAAGTACTGTGTCCATTTCTCAGACTACAAGAAAGACATTGAGGTGCTAGAGGGTGTCCAGAGAAAGCCAATGGAGGTGTCCAGAGAAGGGCAATGGAGCTGGTAAAGGGTCTGGAGATTAAGTCCTATGAGGAGCATCTGAAGGAGCTGAGGTTGTTTAGTCTGAAGGAAAAGAGACTCAGGGGTGACCTCGTCACTCTCTACAACTACCTGAAAGGAGGTTGTAGCCAGGTGGGGTCAGTCTCTTCTCCCCTGTAACGAGTGACAGGACAAGAGGAAATGGCCTCAAATATCAACAGTGCAGGTTTAAATTGAATCTTAGGAAAAATTTCTTCACTGAAAGGGTTGTCAAGCATTGGAACAGTCTGCCTAAGGAAGTGGTTGAACCACCATCCCTGGAGGTATTTAGAAGATGTGTAGATGTGGGACATGGTTTAGTGGTGGGCTTGGTGGTGCTGGGTTAACAGCTGGACTAGATGATCTTTCCACAACCTAAATGATTCTATGATTCTTATTGGTACAGGACACATCCATTCTGTAAATAGATGTGCTCTACAGGATGGACAATTTTGTCATCTTGACTTTATGGTTTGTGAAAATAATTTAAACTATAAACAAGGAGCAGACATTAACATTATTCAAAACTATGAAGATGTTGCTTATTGAGTGTAAGTAAACATTTTGCAGTTACTCTTGCTTTTGTAGTTTGCCAATAAGCCCAGGGCTTGTGTTCGTTTCTTTATATGACACTGCTTTCTGCCTAAGAAGGAAATATTTCTCTAACTCTCCTAGAGTTCACAGCTATCCCAAGAGTAATGACTTCTTGCTGGTTGTCTTCCAAAGGATGTTGTCAGCCCCTCAGTAGTTCATTTCGGGTGAAAATAGCCCTTGTGCCAAGGGCAAGATCATATACCAAATAAGTCCCATTAAAATCTTCAGATAAGGCATAAATGACATTTAAGTACTACAGTGCTGGCCTTTTGCTCAGTAGTGAATTAATCTAATATCTGCAAAAATACATTTACTGTGAGTTAAAAATTGACAAGTGCTTATCCTGACCTCAGAGTGGGATTGGTGAGACTTCCAAAACTGAGTGGCCCAGGATACGCATGCTCTGCCAGATTCTCGGGAGTTTTGCACTTAAATATATCTGCTGGCAGAAGCCTGATGACAACTATACCAGTGGAGGATCTGGATGCCATTACAATACATCAGGCCCTGGATACTTGAAGGCTGGGAGCAGCCCTGACACTGTGACTGGTGCCAAACACAAAAGTCACAGAGTGTGCTAGCATGCGCTTGTGTCATGTTCCCCCCCCAGCTGGGATAAGAGTGTCACGTCATTTCATCTATGTATCTACCTATTTTAGCAATGAAGCTTACATGAAGAGAAAGGGGCAGGAGATAAGATAGAGGAAAGTGATTGCTGCTATGCAGATATATAATTAAGCGTGGTCTAGCAGATGGGAGATGACCTGATCTCCATCACTTCACTAAAATGCTTTCCTTTCACCTCTGTCCTGTCCAGACTTCACTTGAGCTGTCACTTTTTATTCTTACTCCAATTTCTTTTAGCCATGAGGTCAGTTGGAAAAAAAAAAGTGTTTTTCACTGGAAAGAAACAGGAAAAATGGATGCTTCCAATACCTTATAATTAGGGTGCAAAGCATAGCCACAGATAAAATATAGATGTGTGTAAAATATGGGAACCAGACCTTCTGCCTTACTAATGCAATTATTGATATACATGGCAACACAAATATACTGTGGAAGGGAATCTGTGTCAGTGATAATGTTTGTTCAGATACTCACTTGCATATTCATGGGCTCAGACGGAGAATACGCAGTGGGGAATGATTGGTTCACCTCATTCCATTTCTGTGTCCTCAAAATTTTCGTCCTTTGTTTTCCCTTCCTCTTTTATCTCTTTTAGTTTGGATTTTTTTTCCTCCTCTTCCCTCATTTGAGAAGTACCGGCACAATATTTCAGAAAAGGATGTAGATTGCACCTTGCAGTACCATACACATTCTCTTTCTCCTAGAAGAACCTTTGCAATATCCAGTTAGAGCTACTGTTCCGACCTTCCCTTCACTCCTCCCTCCCTTCTTCGCTCCTCCCTCCCTCATCTTCTTAACTCTATTGTAGACCATGGTGAGCAGTGTTAGGGAGGGATGGATAAGACTCTGCTATGACATTTGCTAGTGATTCTTTCCCAGGAAGGAACCATTTCACACCATTCCCAGCATATACTTTCAGAGTGCCCAGAAGCACTTTCCAAAGTATTCTGGAGATTTTGATTTTAAACTGCATTATTTTAAGTGGTCACCAATTTCTCCCCATCAGCATGTGTACTTTGAATGACTTCAAGCTTTCTTTGGATACTGCCTTTGAACTATCTTCCTAAATAAATTAGGGTAAACTCTAACTATGTCACTCGCAAACAGAGATGAGCTTAGCAAGTATCTTTTTTCCTATTAAAAAAACCAAATTACTAATACTGCTCTAAATATATAGTCACTGCCAACAGTAACACACATAGCAGCCAGCTTCCATCTGTATCGAGATTTCCCAGACAAGCTGTACAGTATCACTTCAGAAACTGCTAAGCCTTGGCAATAATCAAAAGATTGTTGGGGAGACACTGCAGAGACAATGGATAAAGTTTATCAGGGAGGCCGATGAAATAAATATTAGCACAACACTGAGGAAGAAGAAACTGCTGACATACTAGGGACAGTCACCAGCCTTTTACTCTGAAGTTCTGAATATTTTGCGTATCTTTCATTTGTAATACTCACATTCTATGAAGACCATATAGCAAAACTTGTATGAAGTAATGCTAAAAGAATTACACTGACTTTCTCCTAAGGGTATGCTGATTTTCCAAATGAGGTAGGAAGAGCAGAGGAGGAATACTAACACTCTTCTGTCCACCCTATTCACCAATTGCAGAGAATCCTTTCCTTTCCTTGCTCAGACAGGCTATATAAGCAATCAACAACAAGAAGTTTCGCATTTCACATTCAAAGATCCAGAGCTTGGAAGCTGAACTCAGCAAAATTCAAACTGAAAACGAGACATACATTTTTAACACTGTGAATAATTAACCACTGTTATTGCTTGCCCTGGAATATGCTTTGGCACTTGAAGCTTTTAAATCCAGTCAGAGTGTCTACAAAAAGATGCTGTCTGCTTCTGTTGCAAGATACTGAACTCAGTGTAGAACCCATTGGCCCTGTCGTGCAGAGAGTTAGACTAGATGGTCCCAAGACCTTTAGTGGCTAGAAAATATACTCAGAAACACAGCCAAGTGTAAAACAAT